TAAGCTATGCGCTTAGTCCATCCACCCATAAAAGCAATTTTGGAACCTTTTTCTAGAATGGCCATCAGAGTCATTGTCATAAGAAAACTGACAATTAAATTCGAGAATTCTTCCTAGATAAAGTGCTACATACCTCATTGCTGAATATCACTATAGTCACCAGAGGGTCAAGGAGAGTTCATTGAAGGTTAGCCTAGTGTCATACATTTATATAATAGACCCAAGTCAGAAATATTAAAAATTGACATTTGGAGACAGAAATATAGGGTTGTGGCCCTTTTAAAGGCAATCCTGAGCTGTGTATCTCTCAGTCTGGACCTTTCTGTTTGTCTTAGATTTAATCATGTATCTCAGAAGAATGATGCTAGGCCCAGGGGGACAAATTTTATGCTATGACTATTGATTGTACGTCTCACGCTTGTGTTGACCCCTTCTATAGAGTGCTAAAGGGAAGGGCTGATACACTATGCAACAAGCAGACCCCTCAGGGATTGGCCATTTGAGAAAGGGGAGTCCCCATCAGGTGTGCTCAGGGAAGCAGACAGCTCCCTGGGAACCCTTGGAAGGCCTTGGGTGCTGCTGCTGCCTATGTGTCTGCCACGAACAAGATCCTGATCTTCAAAGCTGTAGGAAAACAACAGCTGTGTCAGCCTGTGGCAGAGTTACAGGCTTAATTCAAATCTGACTTAATCCTGGAGTCCCTAAACACAGTAAAGTGACAAATGCCAATGTTAGAAGGGGAGATTTCTAACACTGAACATACTGATTTGAAACCTCTGGAGTAAGAAACTTAAAAATATGGACAAAGTAGAGACAACCAGTATTCCCCAAAGTATATCCAGTAACTACCTCCCTCACCTCCTCCTCTAAAAAAAAAGAAGTCCAGATACAAGAAAATGAAAGAAAAACTGATATAAAGATCAACATTTAGGGTGGCACCTGTGGCTCAAAGGAGTAGGGTGCCGGCCCCATATGCCAGAGGTGGTGGATTCAAACCTAGCCTTGACCAAAAACTGCAAAAAAAAAAAAAAAAATGAGAGAGAGAGAGATAAAATTTACTAAAATATAGTGGAACCTCCATAGTCTATCACCTCCCTACATTGACCACCTCCTTAAGTTACCTAATTTTCACAGACCGCCCTGCACCACATGTACGTATCAGTACAGACTCCTGGTTCCTTATGTGGACCACCTCTGTATGTTAACCAGTTTGTACAGTCTCTTGGGTGGTCTAATTACAGAGATTCTTTACTGTAATTTATTCAACAGAAAGATAAAAAGCACCAGTTGACTTTTATATCCTTAAAACATAGGCTATAAATTAACTGTAACATCTCCTGATATGCATCTCCTAAAAAATCTTCACAGTCTTAGTAGATACTGGGACTCAAATTACAGTTGTACCTGGAGAGCCCATTGAATATCCACAAGGTACATCCCGTGCTTCAGGGGAGTTACCAAACACAAAACAGAAGACCAACGTGTGGATCTTGCCTTAAACACTGGACTCCTGCCTTGCCCAAATTCCCTTCGCCATAGTCTCCAGTTGGCCTAAAATTTCTCATATGGGCACTCTGAACCAATTTGTCATAAATTAAAATTAAATATTTTGCACTGAAAATCAGATTGATAAATCAGAAGCCCAGGGACCTTCCCTCCTAATTATAATAGTTAATATAATCCAAATATAGATTAAAACAAGGTCCACAGTAGTGAAGAACTATTACATAAAACCTACTGAAAGAGAAAAAAAAAATTCCTACTGACTTTCCCTTTAGCCTTTTTCCCTGATGAAAAAGAACGGCATTGAAATGTACATCATCCGTCCCTAAAAGTCATGGCTGTCCTGATTCAGACTCCCATACTCAGTACCACTGAAATTGCTGGCTTGATCAATAACTGGAAAGTATTTGAAAGATGTGGCTAATTTGTTCTATTCAATGTTTATTTCAACAGCCTTGCAGTCATAGTTTGCTGTCAGTTTCACGTGGGGAATCTTAGCAGCCCTGACATCACACACAAACTCGGCAGGCAGGACAGTAACTACAGCTCATTTTCATACTGCCCTCTTCTGAGTACATTCATTAGAACCATTCATTCAGGAAACATAAACACAAACGAGCTCAGGCACAGAACAAAAAATGTGTGGCTATATGGATCACTGCTTCACATATGGTACAACGAATACCCTCTCAGATAAAATTCTGAGAATCATTTGGTCAGTCAAGTGGCATTCCGTGGCTGACACTATTGAGGGACAACTATTGAACTTTTCAGCACCACAACACGGAAAGGCGGCCGGTGCTTTTCTGAGTCCTGGAAGCAACCTACTTCTCATTTATAAAATTTTACTTCAGCTTTTTATGTTGTTGTTCACAAATTGGCCCATGTTTATGAGACCCGCCCCCCACAGCAGAAGCATCTATACTCAGTTGGAGTTGCAATTAAAAGACACTCCCCCTAATACCCTCCATCTCCTTTCCTATTGCGGCTCAGCACCCCCATCTCATGACTCCTTAGTCTCTGCACACAGTCTAAACAATGCTTGGATATTTTTTAAAAATTATAATTTGTTGTACATCATGCCGTGGCAGTTCTTTTTCTTTGTTTTTAAAATCGATTTACTTTCTAGGACATCTTAGGTTCACAGAAAACTTAGGCAGAAAGTGCAGAGAATTTCCTTGTGCTCTCCACGCCCAGGAAGGCAAACATCCCCTGCTATCAACTTAACACACTTCACTGGTAAGTTTTTTACAATCGATACACACTGACCCAAGCAGTTCTTAATACACGTAGGCAACAACAATTGTCCAATTTTTATATTACTGGTTAAATTTTATTCTACCTAGAGGCATTAATTTATATAATTAAAAATATTTTAAATATATCTTTCAAAAATTTCAAGTGGGCAGTTTTACTATAAGGCAGAATCCCTAAGATGCCATACATTTTTCACATATCAAAAGAACAAACCAGCGATCAGAGCTTTCTAGAATAGTGCAAGAAACCATAATAATCAGTATGTCTTTTAAAAAATCAATTTGGTTATTGATTTTATTAGACTGACAAAATAAAACCTTTGTATTTTAAATATTGATCACAGTTGTAAGTCATCCTAATGTTTGTAAGTCATCTTAACAAAATAGGACTGATTTTCTTTGGTCCCTCTTTCCTCTGCTAGCTCATGAAGGTTCTTGACAAGCTAACTGATTCTTAAAGTCACTGGGGTATCCTCTAATTGTAACAACTACTAACATCCTTTAAAACTACTACCGTCCTTTAATCTGAAAGGCAATATAAATATTTTAAACCTTACATGGTTTTATGAATTACCAAATACCCCCCCGTACACATACTTACATACTTAACAAATACTTTCATGTAACTAATGATTTTTAAACATTAAGACTTACTCGTACAGTTAGGCACAGTTCCAGACCATGTTCCATTGGCTGTGCACTGTCTCACTGAAGGTCCAGAGAGGATATATCCCTCCATGCAGGAATAGATGACAGAACTAGCAAACGTTATGCCGTCGATTCGAAAGACTTTCCCATTGGCTGTTGTGCCTGGGTTACCACACTGTACAGCTGCAAAGCAAAATGTTTAAGAGTATATATAAAAATTACACGATTAGAAAACCATTCCCCAAAAGTTACTAACTAAATGATTCTTTCCAATTATTCAAAGAAGCAATAAAAACTTCTAAAATAAACAGTGGACCCTTTAAGGAATTAAAATTCAAAAGGGATTCATATTGATTTTATTAAACTGAATTACTGGAATGCAAATCATATTACAGATTTTATATGACTTTTGTTAGTAGATTCAGTAAAAACTTTACAAAGTAAAGTCATTACTCAAAGAGTACTGTGTTGCCTTCTGGTATCACAAAATCTTTCATAGAAGGATTATAAAAATCTCTGGCTAAGTAGAAACTTATTTAAAACTGGAAGATATGTAACAATAATATGATATAATTGAGATTTATGTTACTTATATTTCTGAGAGGACAAATATATACTCTAAATTTTATGAGCATTCATGCATATTTTTATTTATGCACACCTATATGTGGAACTGATTTCCCTCAAAGTTTATTTCTAAACCAAGGATTATCAAAAATAAAATGTGTACAAAGTAACAAAATTCTAGTGATGGTTTTTATTAAGGTTTTGGTATATACTAAACAGGTATCACAAAAACAAATGACTTATGATTAAATATAATATTATATATCACGTTTAACCGTTTTCTATTGATTCCAGAGTTAATTGTTTATGTCTTAAAAGCAATCCTGTATGAAATGTAATACCGAATTTTGTTGTAATATTGTTAGAGGTGGAGGCTAGCAGACAAAGCTGAGACCCTATGCAAGGGCTTAACAGTAAACAACCTTAAACAAAGGGGCGGAACCAAAGGCAAGGACCAGCTTCCACTGGCTAGTCAGCTATCTCTGTTACCTCACATGAACGCTGGCTATCTCTGTTACCTCACATGAACACATGTCATTTCTCTGCTCTTAAAATCACCAAGACAACCATATAGAGTATGATAATGAGGGAGAACCCAATTCTAGGAATTATTGCAAAAATTCTTAGTAAAAGCCAACCCGTTGGCCTTGAATATTCCTCTTCTCAATTAGTAAAGCAAGGAAAGGTCTAAAACCACTTATCAGGGGATCCTGCCTGCTGTCTTTCCTGGGAGTGTGCTGACACTTTCAATAGAAAGCTGCTGCTAATTTGGCTTACATGGTGCGTTCTGAAACAAATGACTTTTATGATTAGCTATAATATTATATATATTGTGTAACTATTTTATCTAAGTAACAATCACCAACAACTTGGAGAAGCCTCTACTTGAAGTATAATTATAATTTCAGAGAGTGCCACGTACTTCCCTGGCTGCGTCTTGTATGTTTCATTCTCCCTGTCATTATAGTGGCGCTATATGTTTCGGTATAAGTAGATAATATTACTGATTTTTATAGTTATACTCTAGTGCTCACTTTGGCAGCACATATACTAAAACTGGAACAATACAGAGAAGATTAGTATGGCCCCTGTGCAAGGATGACACGCAAATTCGTGACACGTTCCATATTTTTGTTAAAAAAAAAAAACTCTAGATAATATTTTCAGCAGAACCTATGATATGATATAGCAGACCTTTTACCTGTTGTCAAACACAATCATTCTCATCTACATGAATTAGTGCCTGCTTAAAATAAAACATGGGTCATATTTATGTTATGTATCATAACCCAGAGCTTGGACCCAATGGATTTTGGAAAGTGCCATTTGTGTTTTAAAATATAATTTGAATTTTGAAATAGGGACCCAAGCTCAGTCATATTTCTTTATAATAAAAATCATGAACATCTTTCATCAGAATAGTTCAGGTGTGAACTATTTTCTTGTATTCATTTTGACAAATTTTATTTATTCATTTATTATATAATGTATATCTTTAGTGCCCCTTAATCTTGACTCTTTTCTTTTATTCCTCCACACCTAATGCACAAGACTTTTCTTATCTAGAATAACTTTATTTGAACCAAACACAAATAAAATTAACTTAAACTAAGAAAATGAAGTGAGTCATCTCTCATGAGTGAAGACCGAAAGCTTGGTGGACACAATGAAGAAAAGGAGCAATTACTTTACCTCTGTAATATCATTTGCAAAAAAAGAGATTTATTATTTGCCTGGGAATACATCTGCATTGACGTTTAGTACTAGCTGACAAAGCCATCTCCTTTTGCCAGTCATCTTCTGGCAGTCAACTCACCTACTTTAGCAAAAATGGTAGTTGTCACTCATTGAGCACTTACTGTGAGACAGCCAGAACTGTCTCAGTATTATTTAATCCTCACAGTAATGCCATGAATTAGTATTAATAACACTACCATTTCTTGTTAGAAAACTGAGGCTCTGGGCGGCGCCTGTGGCTCAAAGGAGTAGGGTGCCAGCCCCATATGCCGGAGGTGGTGGGTTCAAAACCCAGCCCTGGTTAAAAAAAAAAAAACAAAAAACCCCCCAAAAACCAAAAACCAAAAAAAAAAAAAAAAGAAAAAGAAAACTGAGGCTCAAAGAGATTAAGTAACTTGCTCTATGTCACAGAGCTAGGCAGTGTTAAGGCAATACAAGTTCCTGGATATCATTCTGATGGCATATAATAAAAACATTGGATCATATTCGGGCTGGTATGTAAATTTAAACATAAAACATTTTTGTTAATTCAATGCTTTACATGAGGTGTATTTTATATATTTACATTTCTTTTGTTTCTAGAGATAATTATTTAAAAAATCACGACACTATTTTTTATCAAAGTAATAGCCATTTCTAAAATGATAAAAAATAAAATATAAAAGACAAATATTACTTTTAAATCCACCACTAAGACATAACATTTGATAAAATATTTATATATGCATATATACAAAATTAATGAAATTAATCATTTCAACATTTATTTCAGGCATTGTACTAGGCATAGAGTATACAATAGAAAAATAGTAAAAAAAAATAGAACCATATTATGCCTGCTAATTCTAACTCTCTCTTTTAGCATGACTATTAGGGCATGGTTCTATAATGAAGACTAGTAACTGGATGGTTTTCTACTATGGTGGTTAAAATTCATATTTACTAACCAATCCTTTATTGATAAACAGTAAATCTGGTTTAGTTTTACTGTGGTATCAATATTGGTTATAAAACACTCCAACGTATGTACACAATTACTTTCATTGGTTCCCATTTTTTAATATAAATATCTTAAAGAGGAATTTCTGAATCATTTTTAAGTAGCATGACTATAATTAACAGCAAAGTATTGTACAGTTCAAAAGACATATTTGATGACTTGGAATATTCTTAAAGAAATGAAAAGTACTTGTGGTGATGGGTAACTCAAAACCCTGACTTGATCATTAACATTCCACATGTAACAAAATGTCTCACATACCCCATTAATATGTACAAGTGTTATCTAAGAATAATAAGCAAATATTTTAAAATTGTTTGAAGGATATTGCCACAGCCACACCCATTATAGTGTATTATAACTATGTGCATTTGTATCAATAGAGTAAAAATTAGCTTGCTCTCACACATCCTTACAAGACCATTTGCCATCATTTAAAAAAAATGAGGCAGTTTGGTAAAAATAATATATTCTTTAAATTTATACTTCCATATTTATGATTTAAATTAAGTCAATTTAACATGTTATTTTGTATTTTTATTCTTACACACACTTTCTGCTTCACATTCTGGGAAAGCTTTTGTACCTTATTGTGAATGATTAAAATAACAGGATAAAATATTTGGAATAGAGAGAATAAAATTTACCACTAATTTCATAACTGGTGTGCTATCCTTGTTTGCATACTTTCTTCTATACTTTCTTTCAAATGAATATAATTTCCCATGATTCTAATAAAGTATGTAATTTTACATCTTATGCTTAACTAAATTTTATATGATGTGCAATTTCTCATTCACTGTACACTTTAAATTATGTAAACATGCAATTGCTTATGATACTTTTTATGTAATAATGTTATAAAATATTGGTAGTTATAAATAATTAGAAATAAAAATGCATTTTCTTGATTATGTTTGCCTTAATTATGCTTATTTTCTTTAAAAAATTTCTTGAAAGTGAAGTAATAAATTGGACTTCTAGATATACCCAAGAATATTTGTGCATTTTTCTCAAATTCCTCTCAAACATCACCATCAAAATCATCTTGATATCTTATAATGTCCTAATTTTGCTGCACACACACCAGAATTTCTTACTACTATTTTAAAAATAGGTGAAAAATTATGCCTTGATGTGTAATCATTATTTTCTAATTAGTAGTTTTGTTGTGCTTTTTTATATCTTGCATTTTCTTTTTTGCTTTTCTGTAATTTCTGTTTACATCCTTTGTCCTTTCACTTAGTAAAATGTTTTCCTAGTGATGTATGTGACCTAATTTATGAGAAAAATATTAATTATACTACATCTGCTACGACTCATAGTTCCTCTATTATCCTTAACATGCACGTTCTTAAAACAACGTCAGCATCATTCTGCATTTCATCTATCAAATATCTGGCAGGTCAACTGAGCAGAGGACAGTGAACTTGAGACACCACCCAAGTGCTGCTGAGGGAATGAAGCTGCACAGAACACGTGCCTGTGACGTTATTAAGGAAACCTGGCTTTTGGAAAACAGTGGAGAAATAAAGGAAGTGTTTTAGTCTTCCTTGTTGTATTTTGATCAACAACTTTGTTCTCCAAGTCCTTTCCCTACATACACTTAAACTGTCTCTTAAGATTATTAAAACTGGTCAAGTTAAACAGGTAAATAGTATCTTTCCTAGAACATGAATACTGATTTTAAACACAATCAAAACAGTTCTATAGGATAGTCAATAAAAAAACTCGTAAAAGGTTACATTGGTAATTATTTCCTCTATATAAAACCAGTATCTTTAATACAACATCAAGTCAATTTTGTAAGTACATTACACATTAGTTTTTTGGAATAAAATCATCACACAAGGTACAACTTAAATCACAACAGTAATTTTTCAGCAACATTTTATTTTCGAGACACTCTTTTCAGATTTAATTATGAATCCTGCATCTCTGAGTTGAACAAATAATTTTACCCCAACATGCCAAATTTTATGAATTTTTGTAACTAGCAACTGTATTCTACAAACAAAAATCTTAGTCATACTTAGGCTTTTTTTTTATATTTTTCCATTTTTATGCATCTGGAAGCCAAAAGAGATCTTGAGGTAATGTTTATGTCAGAACAATCTAATTTTTCTCTGCTATCTACATTACAGTTAAACTAGTCTTCCCTTCTCTGTAGTTTTGCTTTCCACAATTTCTGTTACCTGCAGTCAACCATGGTCTGAAAACTATGTAATGGAAAATATTATAAATAAAGAATTCATTAAGTTTTAAGTTCTAGGTAGCATAATAAAATCTTGTTCCATCCCACCCAGAAGGTAAATCATCCCTTTGTCCTGGGTATCCACTCCATCCATATATACTATCTGGGCTAACAGATGGACAGATCACAAGAAGAATGACTAGAGTCAACAAGGTATTTTGAGAGAGAGAGACCACACTCAAATAACTTTCCTTACCATATATTGTTATAATTGCTCTATTTTGTCACAATTGTTGGATTTTACTGTGCCTAATTTATAATTTAGATTTTATCATAGGTGTGTATGTATAGAAAAATAGGGTTCAGAACTATCTGCAGTTTCAGAAACCCCCTCAGGGTCTTGGAACCCCTCCCGCATGGATAAGGGGGTACCACTGTAAAGGGAATACATAAATATTTTTAACTTTTTTTTTTTACCTTTTCAATTTAAATATCTCTGTGTTCTGAACAATGTATGTAAATGACCAAGAGATTTTGTGTTTTAGCAATTATTACCGTAGTTGTCCCTAGGCGTCACTGTAACTGGAACACAGCTACTTTTATTTTGTATTTGTGGGCAGGGGGAGCCGGTAAGAGTAATTTCCTTAGTTTCTGCTTGAGATTACCTTTGCATTCTGGTTGTCTTCCAGTCCAACTGCCATTTGCTAAACATGTTCTTTCTTCTGAGCCATGAAGAATATAGCCAGTATCACAAGCAAAACGTACAGTACTTTTAGTTCTGAAATCACTTTCCTGTCTAGACCCATGGCCAGGCGTACCTGGATCCCCACATGTACCTGTGGCATCACCTGCAAAGCAATACAGTCCTAGTTAATTTATCTCAACAAGCATTTACTGAGAATGATTTCAACCACCATTTGGCAGGCATTTGTTTCTGTGCATTCTGTGTTTTAATATAATTCAATTAAGTAAATGTAATTCTTATTTCTCAGCTGATTCCATTTATAAGGGGGGGAAAGTATAAATGAAAAAGAAAGAAAATGGTTGCAAAGTATGCCATTATTTTCCACATCAGTGATCTTTGAAGACGCTACATAGCTATAGACATTTCAATAAGATTTAGTTAATGACAAACTAATGGAGAATTTATAACTATGACAATTGACTTAAAAACTAAAATTAAATACTGAATTCAATAATTT